CAAGACTCAGACGCTTAGCCGACTGAGCCACCCAGGTGCCCGGCTAATAAATTCACCTTAACCCACTGGACTGAGCTTTCCCTAGAGTTGGTTAGTTAGGAATCTAAAGGTTAAGATACCATTCAATTAAGCGCACTGCTAAGTAAGAGTAACAACAACGAACACATTTTTGTTTTGTTTTTTCAATAACTAGAATCAGGAAAACTCAGGCTGGGATGCCATGAGAGGGAGCTGTTTCAACAGATGTCAAGTGGCTGAATGGACTATCTGTGGAAGCCACAGCCAGACTCCTCAGGAGCATTGGCAACACCAGTAGGTACAGAGGAAGGCCCATCAGCCAGGCAGGACCAACAGACACTGATCCAGCCAGGATAGACAAACCCAACTTGTACCAGCCCCAGGCTCCACAGCAGATGCCAACAGAACACCCCAGTTATACCTCAGGGATCATTAGGGAAGTGGCTGCCCATCCACTAGGCAAAATCAGTGGGGATGGGAAAAAGCCCACCCTGACGGGAGAGCCTCCTCTACCAGGCTTAAGAGACCCACACCACTCACCACATACCAGAGGTTGTCTTCCTGAGGAAGAGGGAGTGGGCCCAGACTGAACCTTTTTACCAAAATATGCTCCACAGCCTTTTAAATTACCTTATTAGAGTAATTTAACTGGATTAGACTAAAATTATGGGCTTCTTTTCCTTCTTTCCAGCTACCTAGCAAGATGGAGGCTCATGTGGACAATAAATAATAGATTGCTCAGAGGAAAAATGAAGACATCACATTTTTCTTTACATGTCTGAGTGTAGCATGAGTTACATTTCAGCAATCCTCTAGAACTTTTTAAATAACAGCTTAAATGTTAACTGCCCTGTAATTGGAGAATATAGTTTCGTGTATTCGAGGTTCATAGACTCTGTCTATTCAGAGCCCTACTGCTCCCACCCCTGGTAAGCTGGCAGCCACTGTAAAGGCGGTTCAACTGAAATAGCCGCTTCCTCACAGAGTAAATCCTCCCATTTCTCACTAGTCCTAAAGGCACTATTAGGCTGCCTCTCCCTACGCTGTTACTTCAGCATTTCTAACCAACCACACACCCCCAACCTACCTCCCCCACACACAAAATTAAAAAAAAAAAGAGTTAGAAAAAAGTCCATTCTGGATGACTTGATTTGGCTTTCAGTTTGAATAAAATACCATGACTGCGATTTTTTTCTCCCAGAGAAAGTACCCTCGACACTCCTTTCAAATTATCTACTCAGTTTGGATGTAAAAGCTTTTTTGTATACAATAGGAATTTTTTTTCCTCAAATTAGCCCAGAAACCTGCAACACCTCCATTTGCCGTCCTGCTTTAAACATTCTTTTCTAAATGGAAAAAAAAAAAAATACATTTGTACAGAATTGTGTTTACATAGAGACGTTAAGTAGCTTCCTCACATAATTTTACAGAGATTTAGAAGACAGCAAATTAGAGGGACCTAATGCAGAACCACATACACAGACCTTAATAGCCTTCAAATATCAAAAAGGCTAGTAAAACGACCCACAGGACAGGATTTTCAGCTCGTGAATGGACAATGCAAGTTAATGCATCAAAACGACTTTAGAGGCCATTTCAGCAGAATGGATAAAAATGGGTTAAGAGAGCAGAATGGACAACACAGGACGAAGAATGACACAGAAGAATGGAAAAATTGTGGGATGCAAACAGCAAGAGCCATTAGTTACTAAAAGTCAGATTGACAGGAACTGGAGACATTGTGGAAGTTTTGGGGTCAAGGTAGGACTTGGGCTCCCCCTTGAGGGGTGGGTAGAATTTGACCAGATAAGGAAAGAGGCAGAGGAAGAAGAGCAGCACAGGAGGGAGTAAACGGGTGTGAGATGGGGGGTTAGAATGAATGGGGATCACCAGATAAGAGCAGAAATTCCCACGGGCATCACAAGCATCGAGCCCCAGAAAGGCTGAGCCATCACAGCTGGAAGAGGACAGTGTCCCTGGGCACTTCCTCTCCGACCATACTTTCTTCCAAGTCTGGATAACCTAAACCTTGGCTTTCCAAAGTTTAGCAAAAATTTTACCCTAGCTTAGAGGTTTGCTTGTAACTCTAGCATAGAAAAAAATTATTTATTTGTATATTATATACACATATTAAATATGTGTATACACCCATCTCCTGCCTTTTGAGACTCACAGTGGTTCATTAATTTTATCCTTTATAGTTAGTAGTTATAATATGGGACAGATGGATCCATAGCTCCCCAATGACAACTGCCCCAGAGGAATGACCACTCCCAATGTACCACCACCAATAAAATACCTGCTGATAAACAAGGCACAAATGATTCTCAACTCCAGACGCATGCCATTTGTGTTCAGTGATCGATGTGACAAATGACTGCAGGTAATCTGGAACTAATATTAGGAATCGAATTTTGAAAGTAATTTTTAGAACCTAGAGTGGACTCAGGGTTTTCCTCTAACAAGGTCATCTCCCCCAGTGGCATTCCAATCTGCTCTCTGAGTCAGGGAGAAAGCAGTGGAGCGAAATCATGAGGACTGCCTGCAAGCTGATTTCAGCTGCCCTTATGGCCCTGGTACCCCGTGTACGCCCATGCGACTGGACACCTCCATCCTGCGTGCAGGACAGGAAGTGGTTAAGAAGAGCTGCTAGAAATAGCCAAACTGTGGAAAGAGGCAAGATGTCCATCGACAGATGAATGGATAAAGAAGAGGTGGTATATATATACAATGGAATATTATGCAGCCATCAAAAGGAATGAGATCTTGCCATTTGCAACGACGTGGATGGAACTGGAAGGTGTTATGCTGAGCGAAATAAGTCAATCAGAGAAAGACATGTATCATATGACCTCACTGATATAAGGAATTCTTAATCTCAGGAAACAAACTGAGGGTTGCTGGAGTGGGGGGTGGGGTGGCAGGAATGGGGTGGCTGGGTGATAGACATTGGGGAGGGTATGTGCTATGGTGAGTGCTGTGAATTGTGCAAGACTGTTGAATCACAGACCTGTACCTCTGAAACAAATAATGCAATATATGTTAAAAAAAAAAAAGAAGGAAGAAGAACATAGGAGGGGAAGAATGAAGGGGGGGGAAATCAGAGGGGGAGACGAACCATGAGAGACGATGGACTCTGAAAAACAAACTGAGGGTTCTAGAAGGGAGGGGGGTGGGAGGATGGGTTAGCCTGGTGATGGGTATTAAAGAGGGCACGTACTGCATGGAGCACTGGGTGTTATATGCAAACGATGAATCATGGAACACTACATCAAAAACTAATGATGTAATGTATGGGGATTAACATAGCAATAAAAAAATTAAAAAAAAAAAAAAAAGAAGAGCTGCTAGAGAAGGCCAGTCTCCAGGCCTCAAAGCAAGGCACAGTCATCTCTAGCTTCCAAAGCACACACTCCTTCTTGGAAAGCTTGTTAAAGTTTATTAAAATGCTCTCTGACTTTTCTCAGGAAATTCTCACCTCTATTAAAAGCATCTTATACTAGGGGCGCCTGGGTGGCTCAGTCGTTAAGCATCTGCCTTCGGCTCAGGTCATGATCCCAGGATCCTGGGATGGAGCCCCACATCGGGCTCCCTGCTTGGCGGGAAGCCTGCTTCTCCCTTTTCCACTCCCCCTGCTTGTGTTCCTGCTCTCGCTATCTCTCTCTCTCTGCTAAATAAATAAATGAAATCTTAAAAAAAAAAAAAAAAGCATCTTATACTAAAGAACATTTTCTGTTTCTGAAGAATTACGTTTGAATTTTGCTTTACCATTCCAAGGTCCTCTATGCGAGGTGGTGGTGGGAAAGTCATAACCATTTCGGAGTCTGTCTAACATTTTTATAGTTTCTGTTTATACTGTCTTAGGAGGGGAAGCTGGAATGACTCCTGGATCACACTCTGGCAGGTGTTAGAAGAGTAGCTGTTAGAGTCACCCAGGCATGGATTCAAACCCTAACGTTCCACTTACTACTCATGTGACCTTGGACAGGCCACCTGGCCTCTGTGCCTCACTTTCCTCACTTATAAAAAAGCAACAATAGTAGTAACTTCTAGAATTCATCTGAAGATGAAATAATATAAAGCAGTTAGCGTAGTTCCTGACATTAAGGTGTGTTTCTACAATCAACCTATTAGCACAGTGTCTCATTAATATTCTAACACTTATTTCTTTTCTAAAAGCCTGGATTAACTGTCCAGTTGTTGTTTTTTTTAAGAGTAACTCATCTTTGTGATGATTGTAGGTGTTTCTCCTGAAACCTACCTTCCTATCCATGAGATAAAAATGACACCACTTGCCCTGCTAATCTCACAGACCTGAGAGTCCACAGTATGGGAATGTATTTTGAAAACTGAATATGGAGAAGTTATTGACGGAAAATTTTAATCTGAAATTCATTATTCCAAAATAAGCTTATCATGAATTCCGTGGAGAGACGAAGACATATCAACAACACCATCTCATGACTCAAGCCTTGTTCCCAAGCCTTCTCTAATGAATTTTAATTCATTTCAATCATATAGTGATTCACTATCTTCATGTGATAGTGATTCACGTGTTTTAATTTGCCAAATGTTGCTTCTTGCTTATTTTCAGAAAGGTCTGTTGAGCTCTTTCTTAGGAAAGTCATGATTTGGAGAGCGGATAATATGTCAGTTATTATTTTATTTCAACCTAAGCCAAGTCATTTTTACTCCTAATTTAGATCACAACTCACACAGTGATGATTAAATTAGCCGCAGCATGGTGTAGCTGGCAAGGCATGAACTTCTGGGATTTGAATACCACTTCAGCCATTTTTAAGCTGGATTTAGTCTCCAGCCATTCCTTTTACCTTTCTGAACTTGCATCTGAGAAATGGGAACGGGACAGCTATCTCTTACAGGAGATGGTGACCTTAAAGAGCGGAGCACAGTGCCTAGAAACAGGAAATATTCTCTAAGTGAGAATAATTTTATATTAGAACAAAAGAGCATCTACTTACAGTTCACAGATGCCCGCTCTAGCAGGAATGAGAGGCACAAGTTGCAGTAAAAGTTTGACACCATTCTGCCATTCTTCTTCTCTTTCAAATTCACAGTACAAGTAGCTACATTCATCAGAAGAAAACTGGTAGAAAACATAGGTATCTTGAAAGTATAAATTCTGGTCCACTGTTGGAAACAAAAAGGGGAGGATCTGTTTTTTTTAAAGTCTATTATTTAGTGAGTCATAAACCAAATAATAAATTGAAAGCCCTACTAATTATTAGGGAGAATCCAGCGGTAGGATTATAATTATATATTCTAAGTCCATTCATGTTCACAATCCCATTGAATTAAAAGGGACTTAATGACCAACCTATTTTTATTACTTGAGGCTTTAGCCAGCATATTCATATATATTTTATGATCTGCTTCACAGACAGGTGAAATCAGTAACAATTCAAAAAGTGGGGAGAATTTCTTGTGTGTCTCAAAGCAAACAGATATATTTAGTTACTTGAGTGATACACAAATGTAACACTATCTCAAGTTTTAAACCGTGGTTCTCAACTGGGGGCAACTGGGACACCCAAGCGACGTTCGGCAGTATCTGGAGACATTTTTGGTTCTCACTACTAGAGGGTGCTACAGGCATCTGGCGGGTAGAAAAAGTGATACTGCTAAACATCCTCTAATGTACAGGACAGGCCCCTACAACTGGATTACCTAGCACAAAGTGTCAATGCTACCAAGGCTGTTTTAAAAGGAATCAAGAATTAGAGACTTATCCAAAAAAACACTGACGCAAATTTTTTTGCTCACCAGAAACATGAACCTCACAAGCAAGCTGGTAACATTCCTCAAAGGTAGTTACCACTTTTCTAAATAAGAATATCAGGCGCTAGGTATTAACAACTCACTGAAATTACACCCACATTCCCATCTGTACTACACTGGGACTTGGGTATACCTTTCTGGACCTTACTATGCTCTCTGACTCTCAATATTTATTACTTATGGAGACAAAGGGGCTTCCTAGTGACCAACTAGCACCTGCATGATAAAGCTAAATTAAGAATCCAGATTGCTTAACTTCTAATTCTTTAATTCCCTGGGCTCAACTAAGAAAAGTGCTATCTGCCATCTATTTTAGTTGCTAGTTAACATCAATTTTGTGTTCTGTTTAAACAGCTAATTTTCATAGGTCATATCTCTAATTGTTCATGATTAATTAAAATGGCGTAACATTCCACTCATAAAATCAGTTTCTGATAATTATTCTAAGTACAGCTAGATAAATCACACATTTAGAGCAACTAAAGATGTCACTGATTAAAAAAAATTGTGAGCAGTCTTCTGAGTAGAGAAGAGGGTAAGGGAAAGACTCTTAGACGTAGTAGTCTATAAATCAGCAAGTACCTAATTATTTTTACAAAAGGTGTGAGAATTAATCAAAAGATGACTGGTCACTTTCGTTTATAAAATGTGAGAGAATGCAAATATTTACCTGTGAAAACAATTTCCATCCAGATTGTAACATCCTCTAGAAAATCAACGTAAATTTTGTTCTGGTAGCTTAATAAAATAACGCTTCCATGCTTTCAAAACATGTAATACTGACCTGATAACATAATCCCCATATCCAGTAGGAGCTGCCAGACCCCTATGGCCATAGATCTGCACTGGACAAAAGGACAGTGTTCTAGAAGCCAGTCTACCAGCTCTGACCCAACACAGCTCCTCCTGAACAAAAGGAAAGCCATTCATAGTAAGACAGTGTTGCCACTCATTTGCCCAAGAATTGATCATTAATATCATCCTTTTCATGTGCTTTTTTAAACAAGGGACTCAATAATAAATGAACAGGCACCTCTTATTCATCTTTCCGATTTCAGCCCAGTATCACTTCGATAAGAAAACTTAGAATCATACCCTCTTATACTTTTGCTTCAAATCGCCTAGTAATTGTAGTAATTGTACATCCTTCTGAATGAATAATATCTGCTTTCCTCACTTCAGAATCATTTTCAGGATATCAGGGACTATGTATATAACTCACTGTTAAACCCCAACAACTAGAATATTCCAGGCACATAGCAAGTTCTCAAAACATGTGTTTGAACAAATGAAGGAATAAATTTAGCAATCCATTATATAAATATAATGCTTCTGCCTTGGTAAGACAAGCATCAAGGTGATGGTGATAAACTTTTGTTCAACCCTTTATAGATTTTTATCTAGTCTTTTTGAGAACAAAATAACTCTAAGAAGATTACACAAAGTTAGGACCACAGTGAGTGGTAAAGAGTTTTGTTTGCCACTCTCCAAACATATTAAATCCTAAAATTTGTCTCAAAGAACAATAAATATGACCATTATTCTTTTTAACATCATCTAAGCAATCTAGCTAAGCAGCCTAGATCATAAACTCATAAACCCAGATGTGTGTGATGGATTCCGCTAACCACATACACAAAAATATCCCCTGTAATCTGTCTTAAAATACACAACTATACTTGAAGCATGCCCCAGTCTGGGCATTACAAGCAGTATTTTCATGCCTACTTTTTCATCTTTATCAGCCTCAGATGGAAACTCAAAAGAAGACAACTTCTTGAAATACGGTTTTCATTTGAAGAAATTTCACTGAAAATCATTCTCCCTTATGAAAACGTCACTAAAATGTTTTTTTTTAAAAAGATGTATCGTGTAAATGGCTGTCTTTATTCCATATTTGATATTTAAGGACCAAAACACATCAACATTTATTTTATTCCTAAAACAGAAAAATACTGCTTATTTTTTGTGACTGGTCATAGTCATCAATATCTAGAAATCACACAGTGACCAATAATATGAAGAAATGCCATGAGGTACTACATTTTCAGAGGTATTTGTTTTGTGGTTTTGAGTTTGTTTTTTGTTTTTGTTTTTGTTTTTACACCCAACATGGGGCTTGAACTCACGACCTCAAGATCAAGAGTCGCATGATCTATAGACTGAGCCAGCCAGGCACCCCTCTGCTGAGAAATTTGAACAAATATTCCAGCTTTTGATAAAGCATCACTTTTTTTTTTTTTTTTTGGTGAAGTGTCACTATTTGAAAGATACTCTAAGGCAATTAAGGCAATACCAGACACATTTAGTTGCGCGTTAGCATTAAGACATTAGAAAGATTAACTGTCAAATAAACGGATGTTTTTTGAAAAAGGAGAAAACAGATCACAATAAACTAGGCAATTAGACAAAACCGTCAATATTAACTTCTAATTCTATAAGACACCTTTCATGTTAAAGGCTCAAAGTGTTAATTAATTCCTCAACCCCTCTGTCAATTAGCCAGCATCTTTGAGCTTGTAAAGCACTTTTATCCCATGGATTAAAACACTGTATCATCGTAATCCTTATTCTAAGAACAATCCAGTCCTCAACTTGCTCTCAGTGTCTGACCACCCGGAATAGGACATAACCAAACATTTACTAAGCAAACCAAACTGCCAAACTGCAAAAGGTGGCTAGATGGACGAGTATGTCTGCCTTGCTCACAGGTGATGGGGAAGAAGTTTCCTAGATTGGGGCTTCTCAAAATTGTGTTTAGGAGCACCTGGGGGATTCGGTTAATGTGTAGATTTGGGTGCAGTGTGGCTGAACGGGGCCCAGGTGACACTGGTGACCACAAAGCCCCAATCCCCCAGCTCTACCTTCTCATTGGGAAGGGCTCACTCTATCTTGGGAAGAGGGCTGAATCCACATACTAAACATATGGCCAGAGTACCGCTGTGACAACAATAGTTCATCAGAGCCCCCGACCGGGCCAGCAAGCTACTGTTTCAGTTGCTGGTGATCCCCTTCTCCTCCACCTCCAACTTGATTAAGTTATGCTTCAAATCTCCTTCAACAATCCATCTGCACCAGGGAAAACCCCACTAGGAATAGGGACAAACACTATCCTTAATATCGCCAAAGCCAACAGCATGAGGTGAGGGCCCCTGCGCTGAACTCCTACTCCCCTGGCTTGCTGACCAGGGCTGCAGCAATCCAGCTACCGTACCTAAACCTACAGGACTTAGGGGAGAGCAATGAGGAAGAAAAGGGAGAGATGGAAGGGAGCGATCTGAACACCCAGTTCTTACTCACAGTGTATTTTCAGGCTTGTACTGGATCCAGAAACCATTTGAGTACATGTAGATCTAACTGGAGTTGCAATACGAGGCAGGAACATTGTGATATGGAGGTGATTAGCTACGAGGCCAAGGTGACTGCTATAACAAAACATTAAACATTATCTCAGCTCCAATATTTTGAGCTGAAAATTTGATTTCTCCTGGTCTCCTTCTGTCTCTAGTTGCATTTTTAGCAATTCATTCATGGTACTGCAGACAGAACCCTAATCTCAAATGTAAATGGGGTGATGGTATTTAAAGACTTACTTGAAGTGTCAGAAACCAGGATGATTTTTCCTATAGTGCAAAAGGAATAGAAAAGATCTCAAAGTTCTGAAAGTAATTCTCATGTAGGACATGGGGAACACTTCACCTCAATTTACTACCAGACAAAGGAAAATGACACATCCTAGGCAATCATATTAGCACTTTATCTTTAGACCCAGGGCACTCATCAATCCTTAGATTATGAAAGATGAAGTTCTGGCCCGACCACTGGGAATCTGAAATAGCACAGCACATGCTCTCTCCCCATTCTACTCCCACTGAACCCTAAATGTGTTCTAACTTGGATGGATGGTTCTTTTCCATGAACCTCATTAGCGTACATCTCCCAATGCTTTTTTCAATCTATATCCATGGAGACCACATAAAGGAACTGAGAGCAATGACGCATCTTACACATAGCCTTATGTGGTAGCTAAAAAGCATCATAGGAGCCTGTTCACGACTAGACCCAAAGTCATATCCAACCAGTTTTTATTTTTTAAAAATGAAAAAAAAAAAAAGATAGGTTTAAAGTTGATACCATCATCTATTAAAAAAAAAATTAAAAAGGCTCTATGTGAAGTGGTCCAGCCAGGACTGCAACCACTCTTCTCACCTGTCATGTCTAGTTGGCCTGGGCTCTAAACTGAAGGTTCTCAGACATTGGGCTATGAATTGTTTATGGGGGGGGTGGGGGGTTGGGGGATCAAGCTTTTTTCAAGAAGTTCATAAGTCCATATATACAAAAACATGCTTTCTCAACAGAATAGATCATGTCTAACCTAGGAATATTTTTCAAAACCTATATATGTACTAATGTGGTTAATTTAATATGGGATTTTCGGGCACATGGGTGGCTCAGTTGATTAAGCATCTGCCTTCGGCTCAGGTCATGATCCCAGGGTCCTGGGATCAAGTCCCACATCGGGCCCCCTCCTCAGCGGGAAGCCTGCTTCTCCCTCTGCCCCTCCCCCTCTGTTTTTGTGCTCTGTATAACTCTCTCTCTCTCAAATAAATAAAATCTTTTAAAAAATTTAATATGGGATTTTAAAGTATTAATTCATTGTAGTTCTCCCAACCTTCCCTCCCACCCTTGCTCAATGGTGCCTCAGAAAACAGATTCTGCCAAGAGTCTGATTAGAAAGTAGTTGGTAGCCTGGGATAGTGACTAGAAAAGAATATTAAGGAATTATCTAGGGTATGGATAATAGTTACATAGGTGTATATAATAATAAAAAATTCATCAAGCTGTACCCTCAAGAATTGTGCATTTTAAGTCATGTCTCAATGAAAAGGAGGTCTTCTTACTCAAAAAGGTTGGGAATCACTATCCCCCAAATCCAGGCCATGAATTTTTCCCAACTGTGACAAATGGAAAAAACAGGAATATTATAATGAGTCTGTGATAAAGCTAAATTTAGTTAACTTAATGGAATGTCCTTATTCTGAGAATCTTTCCTACCATTTTTAAGATTTATTTATTTATTTTGGGGGGAAGTTGCAGAGGGAAAGGGAGTCTCAAGCAGACTCCACTCTGAGCCTGAGGCAGGGCTGGATCTCATGACCATGAGATCATGACCTGAGCTGAAACCAAGAGTCAGGGGCTTAACCGACTGTGCCACCCTGGTGCCCCTTTCCTACTTTTTTTGGTGTCATTTATTCTGAGTACTCTTCCTATTCTTTATGGTATATCGCAATCTCGTTTCTGTAAGAAAAAATGATAATAAATTTTTTTTGTTTTATCTTTATAATTTAGTTTTGGTATTGTTTGGTATGGTTCAACACCTTTAATTGACAAAATAAAAGGCTGGTAATCCACTTTTGTTTTTTCTTTAAATGGCTCCATGAAATGAGAACATGTGTCCTCAACTTTCTAAGTGACAATTCTCTTAGTCCAGCTATACTTTAAAACTGACCATTTTAGCCCGTCCATTTCCTTTTATACCTCTGCCCTTATTCACAAGCCAAGATGGAGAAATGCCAAACGTTTGCCACCTGCCCTTCCCCCTCCTTGCAGCGCCCAAGGAGGGGCTCATCCTCCCCTGGCAAGTTAGAGCAGAATTCCCTCTCCCACAGATCTCCCAAGAGTATTTCAAAGAACCTTGATAAGGTCCCTGAAGAAGGCGTCTAGGCTTATTGAAGTCCCAGTGCAGCACATACCCAGTACAAATATATAAAACATCACATTTCAGAGGAAGCAGAGCAGAGACTCTCTCAGGAACCCATCCACTTGCACCTGGAGATTCCATACCCCAACTTCAGAACTAGGAGTCTACTGTCAACAAATATTCAGCTGAGTTTAAGAGAAAAATCACCATCAGTACCCCAAATAGACACTTCAAACAAACAAATCCTCCCAGTACTGATACAGCCCAGCTCTTTGTGATCAAGGTTATGATTTCAACACATTTTTTTCTTATTATTATTCAAGGAGCATTTTTGACAAGGTGTTAGAAAACTGTGTTACCTGTAAAATCCCTTGAGGTTCACTCTGTCCTTTATCAGGTCAGTTGCCTGAACGATAATAATATTCCTCAATGCTCTTCCTGCACAAGAAGAATTCTCTCCATAAATCTAAATGGAAAAAGACAAATATTCTCCATAAATTTAGAATAATATGACAATTTGTGAGCTGCCAATAGCATACCATATAAAAAAATCATGCCCATGTCCCTAAGTTTAAAAACACTTTAGCCTACGTAGCTACAGACCAACTACTACCCATTTTATTTTTGCTATTGGTCCACTTGTGCTATTAAGCTACAGTAACTATTTTCCAAATAAACTGCTTTAACTATAAGTAATCTTTTATACCAAGTTTCCAGAATAAAATATGTTTTTAAAAATAGTTTCTATCAATCAGCAAACTGAAGTATATTTATATTACATATTACTCTGCCATATTGATAATGCTTTCATGTAAAAGTCTCGGAAGATGGGAAAATAACATTTTCCTATCTAGTGAACATCTCACTCTGTGATACGATGTGATAGGCTGCTATCTGCTTCACTCTTAAGCTTCACTCAGCTGCAGCGCTCATCGTTAATTCCAAGCATCCTGGTTTCATCTACATCACGATTCCACCTAGCAGATAAAAATTTTACTTAACCTCCTTATTCATCTTCTAATTCACCCATAGGCATCTCTGATTCTTAGAGGATGGAGGGTATTCCTTAGATCTAAAGAGGTCCATGTCCTATTTTATATCCTACCTCCTATCTCTATAATTGGTACCTTCCTCCATAGTGCAATGTTGCTTCACAAAGAAAGCTAAATGAAAATGAACTGTCTTCATGCTCATTAAAATTAATATATGTTGGGAATGCATGCTATATCTGTTTACTTATTTCTTGGTGAACTCTTTCTGCACCTACACTATTTTGCACCTACTGAATATTTTATATCTTCTCTTGAAGCAAACCAACTAATAGTATATTGACTATGACTTGACAGGGAACATTTCAACCCCATCCTTACACTTCCCTAATATTATCACTTCCTAAACACAACCTGATGAGAAAATGTGAAGGGCAGGAAATGATTTTTTAACATGTTGCAACTGTATACAAAGCAAAACAAAATAAAAACTGCACCAAGTCAGATGACAGAAAGTACTACCCTAGGGTGAGGGATGGGCTGAATGGGTGATGGGCATTAAGAAGTCACTTGTCACGATGAATGGATAAGGAAGATGTGGTATATATATACAATGGAATATTATGCAGCCATCAAAAGGAAT